ATGCAGAGCATCTTTCCTATTATGAAATATCTAATTAATTATTAATATATTTAATTAATTATTCAGTAACTAGTACACCTTCTCGGGAAAATACCTATAATCAAGCCAAATAATCATTCAATAATTTTAATGCAATTATACATTAAAAAATTCAAAGTTATCAATGCTAATTAAAATTTCTTTTAGCCTTTAAGACCAGATATTATTATTGGGTTAGGTCATCATTTTTATGTTCTTCACAAATGACCCTGGACATATAAGCTTAGAACTACTCGAAAATCGTACCATTAAAATTAATCAATGCCCTTACTTATTAAACTATTATTTTGATATCTAAAAATATTGATGACGCTTCTTTGTGAAATCCCGACAAATTAATAACATTTTTATATCCAGAAACTGTCCCTCTGTCCTTTAGGCTAGGACCGGTGCTATCTTCCCAGAAACGTTATTTTTATTAACCTGGTTTCACATTTTTTTCTTATTGAGTATGTTACTATAAACAGTGAAATATTTAATAATTATAATATCATTGAAGTATGAATAACTATTCTGTCAAGTTAAGCGTTTTATCGGGATTCATCATTAATAAATTTGTTAATAATGCTCGTAAAATTATAATGCAGTGATTATAATAAAGCCACATTGAATGTACGAATCAAGTGAGAAGAAGACCATAATTTATATAATTTTGGCATGATAAGACACCAAAATTGTAATTATAAATAAATCCTTATCTTGCCAAATGATTAAAAAAACCAACGTTTAATCATATACTTGAATGCAACGGTATTATTAGAGAAAGTATGGAATAAATACTAATTAGTTGGACTTAACGTAATATAGTATTTACTAAGAAAATGGGCGCTTTAAAGAATCCCTAGTCTTTTTAATTTAGTGCCAACTTATGCTTATGCAAGACAGTGACAGCTCAGACTACTATCATGATATGACAAACAAAAGTGTAGTGCGTCTTCTGAAAAAATTATTTTGGCGAAAATATTGGATTCTTTTTGATGTTCGGATTTCTGGTTTCAATTAATCAACTAAATGTAATTTTGCACCACTTTTTAAAATTTTATAAAACAACATAAATATTACGAATATTTGAAAAAAAACTATTATTTATAAAAATTTTTGTTACTTCAAATCGAGGTTTTTTGTTGGGGCAATGGCGTGCGATCAGAATTCCTCTGAACGTGAATCGGTATTAATCATTTTTTAATTGTCTATTTGTTAAACCTATTTATAGTCTATCTAATTTTTAGTCTATGGTTTACTTTGATGGAGAGAAATTCATTCCAATTGTGATCCCTAATTTCGGTTCCCTTAATCGTTCGAATTACCCCAAATTTAAGAATAGACACTACCCACAAGGGCCTATTAAACCCTATACACAACAGAATACCGGACTCTACCCACAAAAAAATGTCGCGCCGTACTCACAAATAAATACTGGGCCATATCCACAAGCAAACGTTGGTGGTTTTATGCCACCATCTGCGTATGGTTCTGGGGCTACTTATGGATCCAATGCTCCACGATACCGTAATCAATATGCAGAGGGTCCAAGTAGTAAAGTACCTACTGGTATGCCTCCTTTGCCTGCGAATCCTCAAAGCATAAACTCTCAGTATCCTCCTGGGACGAATCCATAATAGAGCAAATCTTTCTTGCCTATATATTTATGACCCTATTCATTTGATCCTGTTATTTTACTTTTATCGTAAATCTTTTAATTTTTCTTATTCTTTCCGTAATATTCATATATGATTTAAGCGCCTCTCAAAAGTAATATTCTTTTTCTTAGACTTTTCTTACGGCTTTTGTCAATCTAAGAGGCTAAACATTGAAAGGAGAATTCGTCCTATTTAACATCTATAAAAGAATATAAAACCGACCCAAAGTTATAAAGTGTGGTCTAATTACCCCATGTGCGAATTATTAAAGCAAAGTTCGATGTGTTGTAGTTGTTTAGGCTTCGATAGTATAAATATATTTAAAATAAGAAGCGTATTTATCGAAAGTTGCATTAGGCGATGTAGGACTTAAGGGTGAGCTTAACATAATCGTATAAATAGGCCTCGCGATTCCCTTTGAATTTCACCTCTCCTTGCTTTCCTAAATGAATCCTCATCCAGGATATACCGTAGTTTTTACATCTGGATCTCAGCGCGATAAGTAGGATTCGAATCAGGGCATTGCGACGCATAATTCCAGCATGTTACCATGATTGCTAGTGGGTCACAGGATATATATTTGATGTTTTTATATATATGAACCTTTTTTGAATTGAGATTTTAGAGAGGCTTAGCCTGTCTTAACATTCAAGTTTGCCCTGCAACCTACCGACGCTCGTTTCGGTAACGAAGCGGTAATATATCAAGTATATACATTACACTACCCGGATGTGGTTTACCTTGATGATGCTTTAATGTAGATATGAAGGCCGAGAACTTGTCCTCTATTTTTGTCACAGTCTCCTTTCGATGTATAGAACTAGTCTGGCCCCGTTCTCGCAACATTGTCGTGTTGTCAGAGAGACTTAGTTGGTCGCACCTTGCCTGAAGTTTTATTGAGGCCCAGGCGAGGTCGAAACTGCAGCCAAACCTTGATAAAAGATCTTTTTGGAAGGCATGGCTAGTTTTAATGCAATGGTATCGTGTTGTCCTCTCATACACTTATGAGTCGAGGAATGAGTTATAAATAGATGCTTGTGAGGCTTTTTAAAAGATAGGCAATACAATTCTCAATATTCCTAGACTTGTTTCATTCTTATTAGCTATCTGTATCCCGAAATAACGTATAGTCTTAGTTGAAACTAGGTCTACGTCTGGACAACAAGCAAAATAGCTTTGTAGCTATACTCATCCTCCGTAGACCCCATTTGCCAAGTTCCGTTCAATTGCATTAGTTGATAAATATCGAAATATTAATTGCTTAATTAACGAGTTAGTCTTCAATATATTTTTGACTCCTACAAATTTGAGTAAATACTGCGTTCCATGTAATATAAAAAAATGCCTGGTTTTCCTTGAAATTCACATCTGCACTGTGGCCCAAGGGCATTCATGGCAATGTGGCGTAGTGGTTAACGTATCGTTGTTCGACTTCCGCTAGGGTTGTTGATAAAACCAAAGCGATGTCGAAACTGCAGTCCACTCTAGAATAACAGTAGATATATATATATATATATATGATGTACTGATAACCTCGAAACCTACTAATAGACGAAAAACTATCTGTATTCTGCCTTCAGTGTCGAGGCTCCATGCTATTTTTATTCTGTATGATTGACTTCTCTATTTGTTTTCATTTTCTAAATCATATGGTTTCGTATCTTTAGCCTATCCAATTAAGAGAGTTCGCAATATTTTTTGGCATTTGTCCAGTTTTAGACTGGTTGGCTAGCTTAACCGAATAGCTTTCCTTACATTAATATGAGAGCCGTGTGCTTCCTCCATTTTCAAAACTTTTCATTTTCTGATAGTTCTACCACCTGGTTTTGGCTACAACTAACGAAGTTGTTGTAGATGTAAGAAATAGCATGTCAGCGTTTACAAAAAGCTTATGCTTGGAGCTCTCTTTTTAAGGGAGCTTATTTGTCTCATATACCAGCTAGTGATCCTCGTTAGTCACCCGGAATAATTCTACGATTATTAAGGACTACTTAGATCCCATTTCTCTGTCTCGTTTGGCTGATCTACATTCATGGAAATAGTAAGGTCTGCTTTGCCTCCACAATCTCAGACATAAGAACTGTCCACAGTTTTATTCATGTCCTTTACGATCCCAACCGTAGGCCATGAATTGAAAGTGGCACTATCCAGAGTAACCCAAATTGTATTTATTCTATAATATGGCTGTGTATTTGCCTAGCATACCACACACTCAAAAGTTTTGGTACCCGCCTGGAACGAGACATCCAGGCTAAGCCTAACGTTGAGTTTGTATGATCTGCTTTTCGCAATTTGGTTAGGACGGCAGGGAGACCTTGTTGAAGCTACCCAATCTTCTGTCATATTAGTCATGATAATTTCCTATATCTTACAGTTAATATGGTGCAATAACAGAGATATCGCCGGCATTGTCAGCGAGAGGCGCCATACTTAGTGCTACAACTCGTTAGTGACTAGTAAAGATAGTTTTGTGGACCATTTTTCTGTTCAACGATTGTAGTGTCTCTCTTCTATTCCTTTGTTCCAAAGTTTACAGTCTTTAATCCTCTTCCCCAGTCCCAATTCATATCTACATCTCTCTGTATGTTCTTTCGTTAAAACCCCTTCGAAATGTACGGCCCTTTACGTTAATATAGTAATGGGTATTCAATTACGCCACCGGTTTCGCATCCTTTCAACAGGATTTCTTAATTATACGCTATATTCTAGGACATAATCATATGGCCAGTTCCAAGTGTGTACTCAACGTGATGCTAGCTTCATCGAAGGCGTTCTTCAAAAAAGTGGTTCTCTATCCTGCTGTCCTTTAAGTCGCCTTGGCTTCTGAACTCCGATCATCTAGGTATCCCACTCCATATAACCTCTTTTAGACTCACTGGTGCGGAGCTCTTCCAATTCACTCATCCTCCTTTGTTTACATCAGACAACTTTTCGTATTCTTTCGCGTTATCAGTCCTACAATTTTAATTCAACCTAATCCTTTAGTTCCACTTCATTCAATTTTTCGTGTGCATTTTTCTGATGTAAAGCATCGTGTCATCACCCAACTTCATCAATTAGCTCGTGAACTAGGAGCCAGCGTAGAGTACTCCTCAATTGCTTCCTTTTCTCATAGTTTCATCATATGAAGCTAGTCTTTTCATTGCATTCCAATCCATGATGTATTCAGTTAGCGAGATGCATTCAACTGTGTCATATCATTCTCTGTCCATCTTTCGCATAATCGGTGTTGCTGTCCGATTTTTGTGTCGATTGTCCTTCTCGATTTTCTACTGTACTTTTGCTCACTGTTTTTTCATTTGTTGCAATAAGATATAGACGTCTTCATATCGTTTAGGTAAATTTGTGAAGGGTATTATTTTCTTTTATTTAAGATTCGTACGAGTGCTCCATTTGCTTAATAGCGGCCTCAGCTTCAGGGCCAGTTCGCACGAAAGTGGACATATTGATTATTTTTCGAGACTACCACTAGATAAATTACATGAGGTGTATTTAATCTATTTCGTTTAAGGTGATAAAGGAACTGGTAGTTGAATTTTATCCCAATAATATGAGCATACCTGACGTTTTCATTGAAGTTCCTTGCTTCTCAAAAGGCATTCTTATTCAAGGTGGATTGTATTGGAAAAATTCAACTATCCGTCTCCTTATCACCGTAAATGAAAAAGGGTAAATTGATCACATATAAATATATTTATTATTTTTTCCCTGTCTCCCTTGTTTTACTTTTTTAATCATCAGCCTCCAATCTCTTTATCATGACCTGTTTCCTTGTTTTATTTCCTTTGGTTATCCTTTTAAATAAACATGCGCGTTAGTTTGCTCAGTTTATCTTTCCATAAATGTATTTTGGTCAGTTTTATGCTTCTTATGTTCATCCTCTTGAGTATTCCGAACTTCATTCTGTATTAATGGAAATACTCAAAAGTTATTATTATTCCTGGGTAAGGTTTTTACTGGACAAACTTTTCTGAAGGCGAATGACTTTTACTACCAACAATAGTTGCTACCTGTTATACTTCATCTCCATTTTATATTGAAAAATGTCATCAACAGCGTTAAATGGAATTAAGAACTCATCCAGTCTTCGTTTTCGATGCTAACAGAATACGGAATAGTCTTTCTAGTACCTCATGCTTATTGTTGGCTGATAAGGTGATATTTTGAAATCATCCTCTAGCCATAGGTGCCAGTGGATTCTAGGGCAGATGCGTAGTCGAGTAGCAACATGGTTTCGATGCTTACGGTCCGATATCGTTGATGAGACCTATGTAGGTCTAAACTGCAACTCACCCTGGATGGGTAAGCCTCTTTGAAGATAAGGCTAAGTGAAGTTAAATGGGATCGTGAAACCTATTCATATAATTATGGTAAACACTCAACTACAGTCCCTTACGTCAGCTCAAGTGACTTCGGGAAATTACCATGGCTACTACTAAAGAGTAGGCAGTACTGGGTACGTTCCCAGCGGTCTCTATGTCGCCTCGACTAAGTTGCTAAAGTGAAGTCCTACTAACTTAATACGTCTATAGGAGATTGAGACCATACCTAAGGCCATACTATCTTGGTTTTCCTATCTACACTCTATGTATAACGTTGTTCATCAATTAAAGTCTTATCTCGTCCCTTATTCAATTTCCGACCACTGACATGTGCATAATTTCAGATGTTCCCAAAGTTATGTGCTATTTTCATCGAATATCCAGCAAGGACTATGTCTGATCCTCAGAGGAATTGAATTCCAAAGATAAGGGGCTCAATTGCCATTGACAGTTACCAGACTGGTTAAGTAGTCTCTCCTATTACCTAATCAGAAATGTGAAAATCTATGATTAAATGCAAATTTGGGTCTATGAAAACCGTTACTGGAGTATTACCTGGGTTTTTTTAACATTCTATACAGTTGAAGTGCCGATTACGCCAAGTAAGCGAAGTATGATGACTCAGTATTCCTGCCATCACAAGCCCATTTGTTTGTC